CCTCCCCTATCTGCCCCACTCTCCCACCTCCCAAAAAAAAAAAAAAAAATTAAAATCAGGGAAATCTGAAACGGAGCTCAGAGCCTTCTACAAATGGTATCTAGCTGGTTTAATATTCCTCCACTGAATGGCTTGTTTGACCATGTGCAGTATGCTGCACTGCTTTTACTGAGTGTAGTGAAATCATGGTGAAAGGCTGATTTATGTTTTCTTGCTTGTTTTTACTAGTTTAAAAAAATCCATGAAACTTAGGTTTTCAAAAATACAAATGTATCTGTCAGGTTTGTGGTGGTGGTGTCATTGCTTTTGGTTTTTTAGTTTCAATAAGAAAATACAATTTACTAGTAGATGAAGAGGTGCTTTATTTGTAGGGGAGATTTAAGGTGTGCTTTTTGAAATCAGAGAATTTTGTGGAACTTGCCAGCAATATTTTATGCTCATAAACCAGTTTGAAGCCCAAAACACAATTTCATTTATCTTTATATTCTAAGCTTTATAGAGTCTGCAAAAGTGTCCATCTGTTCAGCTGAGATTGCCTCAAATAGTGAGTGGTCAGAGAGACTTAGCTGATACAGGTCAAAGGAGCCTCTTGACCCTGTGCTACTTGCAGAGCAATTGGAGCGCAGGGACTGATGCACAGTTAGATAGGGCTTGCAACGCGGCCTCCACTTTAATTGGTAATGATAGCAGGAATACACAGTAAAGTCATTGCTGAAAGAAAACAAAAAGTATCCAATATAGTAATTTATTACCAGTCAGTGGGTTTCACGCACGGGGTTGTTTTACCCCTGCAGTGGTCAGAGAAAGCAAAAAGGTACTCTAACACTTAACTGAAAATGGATGCCCTGCTGCTATCAGAGATGCATGGTGGTCAAATGATTGCCTGTGCCATTAGCTTGGTAATGTTTTCTCTATTGTAAACTCAGCTCCCCATGTTCTTCCTGTGCATCAGCTGCAGATTGAAGGCTTTCTCGTTTGTCTTCTATTTGTGCTGCCAATCATCAAGCTGCTGTCCACCAAGCACATTTCAAGGAGGCAATCTTTTTTTTTAAACTACTATTGACTACCATCACCCGCAACCCAGGGCTCAGAGGATTTAGAAATAAATTTAATGCTTTAATTTCCACTGTGCCATCCATTTTGTGCATTGCTTATGTATTTGTTTTGAGATAATTTCACGAGAAAATTATAAGTTTCATATTTTGCAGAATTTGTGCAAGATATGTCCTGCCAACATGTCCCCTAATGCAATTGTTCCTTATATTATGCCTAATATAAGTAACGTTACTTTATTTGTTGCAGGAGCTAAAGAGGAAAAAGTCTGTGCAAATAAAGCCTTTTACACAGCTATTCCATGTGATTGTTCCAAAACAAAAAAAAATATTTATCACTTCTTGTCAGCAATGACAAAGCATTGTGGGGAATTGAGATGAACTTTCTTTAGAAATACAGGTTCACATTTAAGGCCTCTAGATAAGGTTTGTATAGCCAGTTTGAGTTAAAGCAGTTCTTCCACCTCCATGAAGTAAGCGCAAGAGATGCGATAGGGTACCTGGCAAACTTTTACAAGGAGCCATCTGTGACTTTTATAAGCCTGGAACTTACCCTGATACCACAGGGGCTGACATGATTGTGCCTGAGAATGTTCCCTGCCCTTATCTGGGTGGCAATTCTGGTAATCCACATCCCTTCATGCCTTTCTCTGACTAAGGCTCTTTAGTTTGGGGTTTTTTTTTAAATCCTTTTTTTTATTTAAAAAAAAAAAAAAGTATTGGTGATTGACACAGAGGTCCTGAGATGTAAATGATTCAAACATGAGTGTTTTACAGAATTTCTGTTGTCTTTGTCAAATAATTAAAGGTCAGTATTTCAGAAATTATGATATAAAGAAATTTCTAAAGACAGAATATAAATTAGCGTAGTTTTAATGATAGTGTTTTTCCTTAAAATACTGCTTGTTTGAAAGGGTGAGATGTCCTTTGTTTCTTGTTGTATCTCATTAACTGTTAAGTTAGATTCCTTTGTTATACATGTATTTAATAATGAGCTACGTAAATTGAGGGTCTACTGCTTATGTGTAAAACTGAGTTCTGTTGTGTACTTGAATGCTGTCTTTCATGAGGTATTGGGTCTATTAAAGGTAGAAGAAAAGGTATATGATATTAATGTACGGATCTTTGTGTCCTTTACCAGGGCTTTGATTAAGCTCACACCCTCCCTAAATCTCATCAAAATTCACTCAAGTATAAGCTGCTGAATTTTCGTTTAACGTTTTATTGCACCTTTTGAGATAGAGTGAAGAAAGGAGAGCATCTCTTTTCTGACTTAAGAGTTTCCTATTGATGGAGCAAAAAATGCTCTCAGCAGAGAATATAACTATGGGCTGTTGAAACACATGAATTGTTTTATAAAATTAACGAAGAGCAATCCAAATCATCAGAATAGTTAGGATTTGCTTTATAAAGCTGTATGTAGCATGGGGAGTGCTGCAGGTACTGGGAAATTTTAGACCTTTTTGTTTACTTTTTATGCTATTGTTATGTTTGCAGTAAGGTGAGTGTGCAGTATATAAGGCCAAGCATCTGTAAGAGTCTCATACTTCAGGACTTGTTTTACATACAAATTAATACTTCTTCCACAAAGAACTAAGCACTTTCTTTTCAGTAGTATCAAAGTGACCTCCAAGTATATTTTGAGACTTTCTTCATCAACCATGTGATTCTGCCACTTTATTTCCTTTATGTAAAGTAAATGTCAGGACCATTCTTGTCAAATCCATTTTTAGTAGAAAACCAACAATAGAATCTGTCTAGTGAAGAAAACTGGTGTGTGGAGAAAGTGAGGAGTTGGAAAAAATATGAGAATTCCTGCCAACTAATGGAAGTGTGTATTTTAAGTGGAATAGAGTTCCCAGAAAAACTTAGATCCCAGTGGAAAAGGGTCTTCAGAGACAAAAAGGCAGCTAGGTCAGATAGCATTTGAATTGTACTTCCCATGAAATTTTTATGTGGTCTGTCTTAAACCTGATAAAGATAATAGCATGCATTGATGTATACCCGGGCCATAGCAAGGAGAGCTCCATGGGGGAGGAGTTTCTCTACTCCCCTATAGAAAAGGGATTATTTTCCTTGGCTTCTGAAGTGATTTCATAGAATCACAGAATCATTAAGGTTGGAAGGGACCTCTAGAGGTCATCTAGTCCAACCCTCCTGCACACGCAGGGTCACCTAGAGCACGTGGCACAGGACTGTGTCCAAGGGGGTTTTGAAGATCTCCAGAGAAGACTAATCTGAAAGTGTAAAAGTCATGAAAAATATGTGGCCAGACAGAATACAAAAATCAGTTGGTAAAGATTTGTAAAGGGAGAAGATGAGGTTTGCAAATTATGAAACGGGAATGTGTTGTGTGTGTGAAGGACGGGGTTGAAGTGCATCTGCTATGTTTGTTGCCTTGGCTTTTCTCTTGTCCGGGCTCAGACACCTTCAGTATCAAAGTAGGGAACTGTCAGAGGTGAAAGCTTCCTTGCATGGAGAATAGCCTGTTGTTTAAGTGTCCTGTTCTTCCCTAGATTTTGATCTTCCCTAGATTTAGAAGACCTGTTTTGCTCTGGTTCAATTGGAGATTGTGCACAAGAGATTCATGAGTCTCAGGGTCTGACACTAATTTATGTCTGTAGCCAGACTTTATGCTTTCTTTATGAATCTTAAAGGCAGCATTTGCAAGCAGTGCGGGTATCTCCAAGCATTCCGAGTTTGCATGGTTATCAGGAATGGTACAAGTACACCAATGGCAGTTTTTCAAATGTGAGAAGTCTAGTCTCATTATTGAACTATTCAGCTTCAAATGGTATTTAGTTAATCTAAAAAAGTAAGCCATTTTACTCTGGCCTTTGGGAGAGCTTAAATTAAAGAGAGTTAAATATCAAATGCTTGTGAGATCATCAGTGTCTGCTGGGGACTAGGCTACACTAACTAAAATGTCTGATGTTGCTATTGGAGTAATTTTGAAACGATTCGCAGGTATGAAAATTAAAAAGTAGTTCCTGTTCACATTGAAACAAAAGTGGCAAGCCAAATTATGACAATGAAGATCTGTTTCTAGCTGTAAGCATGGCAGTATTTACATATTACTACAAAAATATGACTTTTCATATTACTAAAGTTGAGCTTTCTTGGGTACCGTAGACATCCTTCAGAGTGGTTCTCTATTCACATTTCCGATTGATATACTTTTATACTGATGAAGAACACAAAGATCAGATTTCCAAAATCTGGCTAAAATTGCCAACCCACTGAACAAGTAAAGCTGTGGAGGTAGGATCTGGATGGAAGTTGTGCGATTATGAAGAGTCATAGTTTGCTGTTTGTCTTCATAATAGCTTCCCGAAGATATATTAAATAACCTTTTAATTGCTCAGCCAAATAGTATCAGTAGATGAAACACAGGTGATTGGGAAGGGTCTATAAATGGGCAACCAAATGGGGCATTTAGAATGGTAAATAATAATCTTAATTATGTACGACTTAAGGTGACAAAAGACATTGTGCTTATCTTAGATGTAATTCAGATTTCTGTTGCATATATGTTTTCAAGGTTTGCAAGAATATTGCATACTTAGAGATTTTATTTCACAGCTATGTTTGGAAGAAAAAAAAAAAAAGTGTGTTTTTCTTTAAAACTTTTCCAACAGCCCTTCAGTTTCACAGGAGACCTAGCAGAAGAAATACTTCGAGTTTTGACAAAGTTTTGTAAGCAACTTGTAGCACAGCTTATAATGAAGAATATTGGAGGATCAGGATTATAGAATTTATATGTATATGTTAGGACCAAAAGCCTATTTCTTTACTGTATGGTAAATGAATATTTAGGAATATTTATTGCTAATTAAATTGAAGTTAATTGAACTGATGGATTTGGCCTTTTTTGTACGCAACTCTCTAGAAAATTAGAAAATCCTATCTGTTAATTTGGACACATAACATATGTTGTTTTTCTTTCAGCTGCCTGATACTGGTCACATCCAACAGTCCTTTACTGTGTTACCCCTGAAGACAAAATGGAACAATATAAACTTTCATGTTCTCTTATTTGATCCGGAAAGACTTGTTGAACTGCTGACATCTCAACTCAGTGCATTAAAGCCATCAGATTCATTCCATGGCTCTGACACCCTACAAAGAGTCAAAAGTACTGCTGAAAAAAGGTCACGGACATTAAAAAGAAATAAAACTGCTGGCTCTATATGTGCAGTAAATGGGCAAGTAAATACTGTTTGTGCAAACCAGATCCACATAGATAGTTCAGTTAGACCTTTGGAAGAAAGTGGTGGGATGAAGAGACATAAAAAAACGAAGGTTTCAAGAAAAAATAAACCCCAGCCACTAGGAAATGTTGATGTGAACATCACCGATGCAGCTAAGCTGCTTTTGTCATGTCTCTTTCCATGGGGTGTAGATGAGGAAATAGACAATCTCTGTGTTAGTTACTTAGATATCTTGAGGCTCCAGTGTCCAGTCTCTTTTGGACTTGTGTCAAATGAAAATTACATATCACTGATGTTGCCAGGATGGAATTGTCCTGATTGTAGTGGGCTGGAGGAACGTGCCATATTCAACCTGTTTTCAAAAAGAGTGCTTAATTTAGCAAACAAGTTCCTTTCTGCAACTGAAGGACAAACTGGAAAGAAGGATGGACCAGGCAATAATAATCATGGCTCACAAGGATCAGAAACTGTGTTCTTATTAAGCAGAATAGCTTTAATCACCAGGATACTAAATGTGCCTTTGGACATAACAAATGAAATGGAAAGGTAAGAACCATTTCCTTAGGAATCTTTTTTCCTTAATAGTGGTCAAAAATGGAGAAATATGAAAAACACTCTTATTCTTAAATATGTGCCTGTGCAGTGGAGTTCATTCTCTGGAGTTTTCTTACAGGACTTCCTTTGCATGAAAGGAAATGTAGCAGAAAGTTAAGTACAGTTTTTTGCAACAGAACTAGACTTGACTTATCCAGCTCATGTCCTGTCTTTCCAAAAATCAGTCTTTTCCTCAATGTTGAACCTAAAATAGAGTATTAGGGTCTTTCCAAGCAATTTTGAGATGTGCATAGCACATTTGTGGTCTTTTAGCTTACCTCTCTTTGTAAGCAGTAAACTTCCTTTACCATGCAAACCCCAGGCTCCACAGATAAATAAAACATGACAGATGAGAACAACCTGTCCTAGTTCTGTTATCTAGAATACAAAAATAAATAGTAACAATGGCAGCTACTGGAAATGAATGTTTCACCAGCCTCTGTATTGTGAGAACCATCCCAAATAATACTTCCTTTACTCAAAACATATTTATTGACCAAATGCTTTTTCAGCATTAAGGAAAAAATAGTGTTCAACAATATTTGTCCAGGCCAAATAGATCATATTAATCAAGCGATGGATATTGTCCATAGACTGTTGTTCAGCAAACCTAAACTGGTCTTTGTTTAGTATTTCAGTAGCTCAATGTTGTTGATGCTAAACTGGTCTTTGTTTAGTATTTCAGCATCAACAACATTGAGCTACTATGAGTTAGAGACAAGAAGGGGTGCAGAAGATATTGATCCTGAATGGTGCAAAGGCTACACATCTCCTGCAGAGCTCCAGGAATTCAAGACATCTCAGGAGATGTGCAGAATTGTGCAGGGCAAACAAGTATTTCTAAATTGCCTTTACTGCTAATAACGTTGCTTATTGGTCCATATTTGGTATATGCTTTTATACCAAAGGATGTTCCTAAGATGCCATCTCAAACATGAATTCCAAGGGAATGAATTTCAGTTGTCTTCAGACATTAGTATATTTTTTTAGCAAAGCGTTTTCGAGCTTCCTAGTAAGTCTGGTTCATGATCTACTTTCCTGAGCTGGTTCTGTGTGTGTCAGTATTAAAGATGTAGTTTTGCTACAAGGATTATTTTTGATGTCTTGCATTACGACAGGTTTTCCTTTGATACATTCTGGGTACTAATCAGTGTCAGCTGCACGAAGTTATCTTGCACAAAGATCTTGCACATGCTGTTGTGCAGGATGCAGTGAGGCAGGTGCTATGCTGATGTAGGGGCAAAATCTGAAATCAGAGGCTGCAGTAACATAACTTGGCCCTCTTCTTAGTGACTTAATTTATAAATCACTTACATATAAGCAAAGGTGTCTCCTCCTCTACAGCTGGAGGTAAAAGCCTTTTTCAAATGAAATTCTCTTTGCCTTTTTTTCCCCTAGGAATAAGGATAGCCTAGGATAGGATTTTAGCTGTTCTCCACAATTTTGGAATTCAGTCTTTGTTTCTCCTCTTCCTCATGCAGAGACTTGAGGACTGTGAGAATCTCCATTCATCCTTTCCTTAAATCCTTCTGTATGTTTTGGCCTTATTCATTATTTTGTGTTCAGGGTTGGAGTTTTGTTAATTACGTTAATGAATGAATGTCATAACGTACTTCTGTCAAATTAAAGGTTCCCAGAAACTGAAAGTGTGATTTTGTTGTTTGCCATCCAAAAGCAGAAGCCTGTAGCTGTACCAGTTAATTGGTGTAGGTGAAACCGCTGTATGGTCAAGGCAAAAGGAGTTGCAGTTTGCTGCACCCTTTGTGAAAAGGAGCTAGTGGGGCAGAGACTGCCCCAATGAGGATGCTTACAGCCCTCTGCTTCTGCTGTGGCGAAAGGTGAGAGGAGATTCAGCAGTAAGCTGGAGAAATTGGAATTCAGTGTGACTGCTTTGGAACAGTATGGGTATGTAATTTCCTCACTGTAAAAGCCAAACAGATTACTTAATTTTCAGGATTTAGGAGAGAATGGCTGTTTGGTCTGTGCTTTTACAACTCCTGAGGGTCCTGGCCCTGTTACTGGCCTCCTGAGTATTATGAAGTACAAGTAACTACTTTGGTTGCTAACCTGAAGGTAAATGTGTTCTGATGTCCTTTCAGTAGTTTGTCTTTCAGCAGAGCTGTGTGTTTCTCAGTCTTGTGAGGGATGACTTTCTGTCATCACGTTGGTACTAGCCCAGGAAGTGTCGAGCTTTTAAACTTGCAAATGAAAACAGGAGAAAGAACAACTTCCAAACAGATTGTCCAGGGACTGGGACATGACTGTGTTTTTGTCTGATATTCATGTACTTGGCTACTTTTGTTTTAGAGAATGGACTTGTATGTTTATTCCTACAGTTAGTAGTGTCCTAACTATTCGTTTATAATATTCTGGGGGTTCTAAATTTCTGCTATTAATGCTGGTCCACTTTGCATATAATACTGAGCTGTAGGGAGGTTTGTTTTACTGCTAGGTGACTGTGGCTTTGACCTGGGGAACCAAATAATATAGCTTAAATCCCTGTTTTCTAGCATGTCTTGAAATGACTTTGCTATTGCAGGAAATTGAAAGCTCTTTTGTAAATACATACTTACAATATTACAAAAAAAATCAAGAGAATCACAACTGAAAAAAAATGCATTTGGTCTTAATCTGATGGGCATTCTTGGAGGAGTCTGTTATTTTGTCTAAAAATCCTATCCTGGTCAAAATGGGTATATGTTTCTGCTTAAAGTGTGAGGTTGACAGACCAACGTTCCCTGGTGAAAAACATGCGATTGGAAAACTCTTGACTAGGTCTTACAAGTTTTAAGTTAGTGCTCTGGATCAGCAGGTTTCAGGCTGTTTTTGTCTGTAAACTATTAGCTACTTGAGTGGATCTGTGGAATAGGGATATAGTGAACAGTGAGTGAGATGCTTGGACCACATTATGAGATTGCTAATCTGTCTTTAAATGCAAACAAAAAGTGTTTTTTGGTCAAAAACACCCCCAAAGTGTTATTTACAGGATTAAATATTTAAAAAAAAAAAAAAACCTTTTTTGTTATCCAAAAAAAGATGAAAATATGAAAAACATGATCCTGTAATCACTAGGAGTTGAGTTTACATGCTGCTGTTATTCATAAAAATCTTTGTAAATATGTGGGACAGAGTAGTTAAAGTATCCTTCTTGGCAAGAGTTTCAGTGGATGTTTATGTTGTATTTTTATTTCCTAGTCCAGACTGTTTTGCTGGCATATCTTATTCTTTATCAGTATGTTCATGAAAAAACTGGAAGAACCTAGCAGGGGAATAGGTCTTCAAAAAAATAGTGTTCTGCTGCTGCATTTTGAGATTTGTATTTGTAAAACAGCTTTCAAGCAGGAACTTTTCAGAACTGTTTAGAGTCTTAAAGTTTTTAAAACATTAAGAATTTCTATGGACTACAGTGAATTTGAAAGGTAAAATATATTTTTAAATGGCAACTTGTATTTTTTTTTCAGGGTCACTGTGATGCAGTATTTAAAACAAATGTATTGATTTAAAACAAAGCAAGGGTCTGGAGAGGCCTTCTACTTCCTTTGCCTCTTCCCATATTCTTTCTTTGTGTTGAAGTGTTTGGCTCCTGAAAGAGTCCCTGAGAACATAGTTATTTGTTGAAGTCCGAAGTATTGCAATATTTACTTAAGACAATTTATCACCAAAGTAGCACAAATAGTTTGCAAAAATTATACTTGACTTCATTTCACTGCATACGCTTTTGTTTCTAGAATACAATATGAAAATTAGCTATAATAAACTTTGAATCAAGTATGGAATATCCTGCATAGGAGCGGAGCTGCTCCAGATTTGTCTACATGTGCATGTTTCAGTGGTGAGATGCTCTTCAAGAGCAAAAACATACCAGTGATTTTTGAGTAAATTACAGTTGTTAGTAATTGATAGCAATCAGTCACTAACTTAAGAGAAACATCTTAGTGATTAGGTTCATTTTTTATGTAACAGTTTAATATTTTTTTAGTCCACAGAAATCGGAGTCCGTACATAACAAGTGGCGAAATGTGGAAGCCATCAGCTCTTCGTTCCCCAGTTTTTGTGCAGATTTACCAAGCAGTGAGTATATGGAGGAGTGGTGATACTAGGTTAAAAAGGTGTTATGTTTTTGTATGCATTTTGTTGATAAAGCACACTTAAGCAGTAAAAAACCTTGCCACTTAGATTATTTGCTTTGGAGAAGTTTCACTTTTTCAAATACTGAAACTGGACTAGATCATTACATCTGTCTGCGAATATCAAAATGGCATGTAAACAAAACATTGAATGTACATTGAATTCAAAAAATTGCATCAGACACATTCTGTGTCATGGGAAAATAGTTGCATTTCAAAAGACGTTATCTAGGCATCTGAAAAAATAAACAGGAATGTAATAAGACAAATATTGTCATCTTTTTCCAGGCTATCTCCCTCAACACCATTACATGCCAGCCGAACAATATGTAGAATCCTTCAAGCAAACTGTTGCCTTAGTAATAGAGGAGTTATCTTGACTTTTCAATAATGTCCTTAGACTTTTGTCTTAAGGCACAATAAAGTAATCTCTTCACATTAACATCCCATAGGGAATAGTTCAGCAATCTTGGTCTGCAGGACAGTCAATATGTTTTTCTGCAACATGCAACCAACTAAAGAATGTTTAAATAAAAAGCTAAACAGCATATGGATATTTGTCAATATGCTTTGCCTAGGCTATAGTATGAACATGCTGTATTTGCTAAGTCCTGTCTAGGCTGGTGTTACAGATTGTTTCAGATCAAACCTGGACCCTGTACTATGTGAGGAAAAAGTTGTGTGTAAATAAGCTTTAAAATGTCTATTTAAACCAGCTTTTGGCATACCTTTGTTTCTGCATCTCTTGTATGCTTCAGAATTGTAGAAACTATGATGTAGTAGCAAATTAAGGGATAGGAAATTAAGAGATTATAGATGTTAGCTGGGAGAATTGTATGGGGCTTGTAGAGATTACTAAACTGATGTTGGATATAAAAGTAGTTTTATTGGGATGTTAGTTAATACTCCTTCAGATGTTTTAGATCATTGGATCCTGTCTCCTCATTTACATTATGTTTTTGCAAGTGATAGGATAATAGGATATTTGCAGACTAAAATTCTATCTGAGCCTTGCAGATTTCATGGTTAACTTTAGGAATGAAGGCTTTACATTTGGATTGTACTGACCTTTCTGGACCTTCTGTATAGAATAGAACCTGTGGATAAGTAATGAGAACACAACCAAATTAAAGTAGCTTTTAATATTTCTTGCATATCTGGGTCACAAAACTGAAGTCAAGCTGTCTTGCACCTGAGCAAAGGATTAGGCTAGATAGTTACCATCTTTGCTGTACTGTTCCCAATCACTGTAAGTACTTGCTGAAGGATTTTTCTGTTTAAAGTGGTCTCAGATACAGCTCCTGATACAGGAGCTAATCTGAGATCAGGAGTGGTATCTGTATCAAGTTAATTATGCTTTCATACTTGACTTTTTCGTAAAACATTAGAATCTTCAGTTATAACTTGTTTGGAAGATCTTGGAGAAGGATAGTGTAGTCATCTCTGAAATACTTAGACATGCAGACAAAGCCTAAATTTCTATATATTTGCATAAATCTGCAGGTTGACATAAATTTTTACGAAATAAATCACTTTATTGGGATAGTGACAATTGCCAATATCTATAGAAAATCAAGACTAAAACAGAACCTCTCTGGTTTTAGTATCAAACCTAAAGGTATCACAGGTAGGGAGGTATCAAATGTCTGTAAATGAAATGAACTAAACTGATTTAGGAGAGGAATAAATATTTAGACAATAATAAGCAGTATGAGTGTCATCTATCTGCATCAGATGAAATATTCTGTGAAATTATTTTTATATTTTTTCACTATGTTGCTGACATAAAAATTAAAACCATTAAATATTTTCTATTTGTGTTACTTGTATTTATAACCTGAGTTCATAAATCCTGTGTGTTTTTTAGATAAAAGCAGATTTAATGCCCCTGATTTTGAGAATATTTCACTGGTGAAACTCATTCTTTGTTGGAGTGATCAATCTATAAAGGTAAGAAATAGTCTGTGTCGATGGTTAAACTGTGACCTTGGCTTTAGGCGATAATTAGCTACAATTTAATATTTTTACTTTTTAATGTAATGTGATAGTTGTGGATCTATGGTGTTAAATTATTACATAAATGGTGCCATTTTTATGATCTGTGAAAAGTACATGACTGTTTCAGTGGGAAATACGTTAACCTGGCAACTATTTGATTTTAAGTACATGTCTAAATAGTGTAGCAAAAATAATTACGAATTAAGGTGTGCTTGCTATTTTTTTTTTTTTCTCATGGCATTAGTTAACTTGGCTTTTTTAACCTGAATCAGATGTGACTTACATGACAAATGCTGTTCTGGACTCCAGGAAAATAAGAGCTCTATAATGTCATTAACAATGTATTACAGAGGAAACAGAATGCCTTCTTAAATGGGTGTATAATTAATCCTAAATCCTTACTCATTAGAATACTTTTCAAGAACTACTAGAGAAATTAGTAAGTCACAAGTTCCCAGATCAGATCAAGCTTGTACCTATTCCTGGTGAAGATTCTGATACCTTGGGAAATTAATTACCGTTTCTTTGTGGTCATCAGGTAACTGTGAGATAGTCGGCTAAATAGTGAAATGCAGAAGTCATTTTCAGTTTTGGAAGTACGTATATAAACAAGTTTGCATGGTAGCATGGGCTGGTTAATGTTCAGGAGTAGAAGACAGGAGCACTTGGTCTGCAAGCGATTGAGTTCCGCCTGCCCCAAAGTTCGTTTTGTGATGTTAATTGTTAAAGTGCTCCTTACATTTGAAGTGAGGCTATTTTCTAGCGTTGGGAAGCATGCAGGGGTATCATTGCAATGATCTCCTGTCCTATTAGAGATAGGAGTGGTCTGCAAATATTCACAACCAATTTAATTAATCATTTTATCTTGAACTTTTCAGTTAATTATTTGTCTACCTGTCTGCACATCTTCCAACTTATTTCAGCCTTCTTCACTCAGACCGCCCCACTTCCTCTCACAATAAGAGTTTTTGGAGTGCTTTTAATGAAATAAATATTAGGAGCTCAGTTTCGATAGCTGCAACGGTCAGCTGAAATTCATGTAATCCCTTGCTGATGTGGCCAACTGCTAAAACTACAGAGTAGAGCGGTATAGTCAAAGTTTGTGTTTGTGGTATAACCCATCATGTGAGATCAATACACTAGTTTGCAGTGAATTTAGCGACTTAGGCAATGAAAAGGGTCTTACCTACCAAAGGAAGTTAGTGAGTGGGGTTAGGAGGTGTGGAGCAAGCTGCCCCACACTTGTTTCATCTGAAAAGCTTTTGGACTGAACTTGGCAGTAACATTGTCAAGTACTGCAAATACCATGTATATCAGCTCAGCTCAAATCTGTCATTATTTTGACAGCTTTGTAGTTGTAATGAGCTTTGTTAAACACCTTTTAAGTACTTTTTTTTTTTTTTTTTTTTTTGTTCCTGTTTGCAGCCAAACTGCTGTAAGTATTGTAACGTTCAGAAGGGTTTTTGATGTTGGCAGTGGGTTGTGGTTATCAGCTGCCAAGAGCCTTGTATGCTGTGTTTATAGTAGGATGGCTCTGTAACCCTTCCTTTCTACAAGCAGGGTTTCATGGCCAGCATACAAATCCTGAGCAGCATGATTAAGTAGATGGGGATGTTCATCCAAAATATCCCTAGGTACCCTGTTCTTAAAAAAAAAAAAAAAAACAAAAAAAAAACAAAAAAAACCTTCTTTTTATGATTATTCTCAGTGATGGATACTGACTCTGTGATTCAAAGGATTTGTTGTATTTTGATTCCTAGTCATCTTACAGTGCTGTTAGAGATTCTGTGCAAACAAGCAGTCTGAAAGAACCTGCTGCATTTGGTTGATTTGGACTTCAGTGCTCTATAACTGACTTACTAAAGGTGAAGGGCTTTGAGAGCTTCTTTTCTGTCCAGGATTTCATGATCCTAAATTTCATGTCCTAAATTTCAGAAACATGTTTTTGAAATACTTTTTTTTTAACCTCCTCAGAAAATGTTAAAGTAAAATCTTTTTTGTGCAATTTGTTGTTTATTGTTCTTCAGGTAACCCATAGCTTCTTGATACCGTGTTCCCACTCCACCCAAAATTACTTAAGTGTAAAAAGTGCTCCATTCAGAGATGGATATAAAAAGGACTGCATGCTCTAAAACTTTTTATATGAGGATAAAGTTTTACTTTTGCCATTATTTATCTTTATTTCATGCTAAAAGTAATCATTCCTCAGTTATCTGATAGCTTAAATGTATAAATCTTAGGACCTGATTTGGAGATCCAACCCCACCATCTAACCCTCACCTTTTAGCAGTATTCCTTCTCTATACAAGAAAACTTATATCCTCTGTATCAGCTGGCTGTTTAGGCCAGTCTCTCCCCTTGGGAAAACTATTAGTGCCGTATTTAGATCTCTGACATAAGCACCTATGTGAGGAGAGGCGTCGCTTTAGCCTCCACCTCTCATTAAAGGGAAAAGATGGATGCCATGGAAGGACTGTTCGGATTTTAAGAGGAATGAATCATCTCTGGAGTTGCTCTTCTCTTCCTATTGATTCCTGCAGTGCATCTGTAATTTTTTTCTCTTCATTTTTTTCCTTTCCATTAAATATCGAAAATAAGGTGGGATGAGTCAAAGATAAAGGACCTTACTTTTAAAGCACAGGCCACTTCACATAAAGGATGTCTGTCTGAGCAGGGAGTAGTTCAAAGGAGCTAATATTTTCTTTATTTATGCCTGTTTTACACAGTTTTACTTTACTGTAAAACAAACTCTAAATGCATTTGTAAAAACATATATTAATGGCCAAATGTCCAGAGAGATGCTAAAGAATTCTGGAAACTATCAGAGAAAATAAAGGTTGTTCATGGGAAATTGTGGAGACTGCTTTGTGGTAGAAATAGGTGAAATCTTTCTGGAGATTTATTTTAGCTCTTTGATACAGTGTCAGACAAGATATTGGAATTGTTGGGGAAAACACAGAAGGCAAAATTAAGCATGTGAATCACACTGAGCACTGTGGAAAATGGGTATTCAACAGAGTCATAGACGAGCAGCATGCAGAGATTTACAGGTGCCTCTGCAATATCATGTTGTGCCAATTGCAGTACTTTCGTGTTGTATTCTAAGATGCGGGAGGAAATTGAATATTACAAATGCCGCTTGGCTGCTGTACACAGCAGTGATAGAGGTAATGAATATCTGATGCAGATTTGTGACAGGTTTTAGCAGATCAGAAAATCGTATGTTTAAAAAAAAAAAAAAAAATAGGCTGCATGCAGCACTTTCTGAAAAATATGCCCAGTTCTTTTGCATACCCCCATCAGAATGATAACTTTTTGCCAGAAACTTTGTAGGACAGTCAATGCATTCACGCATGTTTTGTTCTTAATTATTGTAGATTCATTGTAAGAGTTTGGGATCTGTAATCCGCAGAGCTCAGGACTGAAAGGATGCGAGGAAGCGGAAGCGCCTTTAGTTTCCGCTGTGAAGGGAAGTGCCATTACAGCAAGCTGAAGGAGCTGCGCCGTGTCAGGACGCGCAGGGCTCTGCTCACGTGCCGGGAGCCCTCACACAGTGAACGTGGCCATAGAATGTTTGTTTGCAGTGAAGGATTTTGTCACTAAGGGCATCTACTGCCTTTTTGCTGTTTAATTATTTGAATTTGCAACTGCCCCTAGAAATGTGTGTGGGCAGCCCAGGAATTAGCATACTTGATTAGTAATACAGAATTCTTCCAGAAAGTTCAAGGGAGGGTACATACCAATTTAAAATCATATTTAAGCTGGTATGTGGAAGACTGTCCGAAAAACTTTAGAATGTCTGCCCTTTATGCAGTTACTTGCACTTGAGAATAGACACCTCGAGGGAGGGAAATTGCTGTCCAGTTAGCATTTATTTCTAATGTTTGTATAGAGACAAACTGATTATCACTGCATGGAAACTGTTGGTAACTGTTGTCTTTCTAATGATGTCCAATGTAAGAGTCTAAAAGTTGTGGTTCTGTAAGTATTTGATAATTTCAAATAACTAATTGAAATACTGATATAATCAAGTAATAATTTGCATCTGTGACAGGTTATTGAGGCAGTGCAAGCCATGCTGCTGGCAGAAGTTCAAAGGACTATGAAAACTTTGAAAAAGACAGCAGTGTGCAGAGAACCGCTGCCCATGCTAGAGAATGGAAATGGTAAGTTACAAGCACTGCCAAAAAATAAGGAGGTATAGGAGATAGTTTTGCAATACATTAAAAACATTCCTTTGTCATGTAAGTGGAAAATTTATTGATATATTCTTTTAGCAGAACTTTCAGTGCTCAGAGCAAGTTAGGAATATGAGTTCATAATACATTATTTCTGTGCAAGACAAGCCAAGTGGCCTCTTTTTGACCTTATCAGGCAATCAGTTTTCTTGTATGATTGTCAAGTACTTAAAGAATTTCTGCATTTGATCATTTCTCAGCATTAAAGAAGAAAAGGTTGAATTTGCTTTTTCAGTATTTTGTACAAATATAGCTCTAGTAGTATAAATACATTTGAAAATAAAGGAAACAGTGCATTTGAGATTTTCAGTGATTTACTGATTCTGAAGAGAAATTTTACAAATTTATCTTTTCAATGACATCAGACTTACATAGCACTAAAAATTAATTGCTTAAATTTTATAACTTCATAATGTAGTACAGAATATTTTTTTTCTTTTAGAAATAACCTCTCTGCAAGGAGAACTCAAATCCATTTTACAATTAGATCATGAAACATGAAACTTACTCTTTGAAACTTTACAAGGGTGCTAATGTTTATGGTAGAAAAGATTGAGTCTGAATTTATGTTATGAAGTTCTTCTCATTTTTTTAGCCCATTAGCTGAGTCTTAAAATAAGTGACCTAAATTTTAAATCCAATCTTATTAGTGAGTCTTCTCTTGGGAAACTAATTTATAATCTCATTGAGTGTCTGTCATGAAAATTTGTTACTGGTCTTCTTGTTCCAGAATACTAAAAATGATCAGTGGTACTTGTTTCAGGCCACAAAACAAAATGTCTCTGTAACTTGGACACTTATAATATGGCAGAACTGAAAAGCTTTGAATAATTGTCATATATGAATTTATGTATTGCTTACACTGGAAATTGCTTAAATCGTATTAGTTTAAGTGGTTTGGGACAAGATGCATTGTAACTAAAATATCCCTAGCTACAGCATTCAGATTTGGCTTCAAATCAAAATTTCCTGAATTTTCAGAGTGTATTTCAGTGTGTTTTGACATAAAACAGAAGTTGGAAGTAATTTGAAGTCACAAATAGCAGATATATGCATCTGTAAACTTCAGTTCAAGTCTTTGGGTTTGTTTCAAATCCATCTGCAACAGATGAAAATTAATTCCTGCTATGCGAAGTGTGCCAAAATGATTACATGAACCTAGCTGCCTTGCTACTTGATTCCAATTAAGTATCGAGACACAAAAAAGTTATGAACTCAGTGGAGTTCCTTTAGCTTTCCATCCTCTGAAAGGGGGTTTTTTTTGCATGTCTAGTAATCTTCACTGTCATTTTTTCTTCTAATGCTATCTTCAGTTTACTCAACAAGCTCAGCTGGAGAATTTACCAGCAAAAATGAGTACCTTATGTGCTTACATTGGCGAGAAGGTAGACTTTATTGACACTGATTCAGATTGTATGAATTCTGTAAAGGAGGGTTTGTTTTTTTGTTGTTTTTTGTTTGCTTTTTTTTTTTTTACATGCCATCACCTGCTCAATGATTGAATGTATCCTGGAAAAGCCTGAAAACATACAGAAACATTGGGAAAGAACTATTACATTGTAACTATTTAATACCTTGTTAACTTTTTCCTGTATTTCCATTAATATTTTAGCTTGCTGTATTATTTTGTCACAGTATGTCAAGAGCACAAATATTCCTCCTTCGGTTTGTGTATCTTTGCACTGTGCACTGCAGAACTTGCTGGGTTTGTTCAGAATTTTCAAATTTTGAGATTTGTAATATGTTAAGTAGAACTTAATTATTTGTGGCATGTGAAGATATGTAGAAATTAAATTGGAGAATAAATCCACAGACTATATAGTTACTAAGACAAGTCTGTGTGCTTTTAATCATTAATCTAAAATGTCTTCCTATATCTTCAAAATACTAAGTAGTCATAGATTACTCAACAACTGTCACCTTGTATGAGATCAAGGTAGTAGTTAATATCATTTCAGGTTTCTAGTTCAAGAACTTTTCACTGCAGTAGGTAAGTGTCCATTAAAAAAAAAACAGTAAATTTTCTGTATTTGGCTTTTAATCCTCATCACCTGTAAAATTTGTAGCATATTACATAATCATTTTTCAGAAAGTTCTTATGTGTTAGGAGATTCCTGTATCCTTATTTCTTGTATATGGATACTAAAATTTAGAAAACTATTTAACTTAACTATTAAAACACCGTTTTCTCCTCCATAGTTTCATACTGAGAAAAACATTTGTTAATTGAATAATGAAGCCAAGACTGTAAAGCATTATTGTTATAAATAAAGAGTTTAAAAGATATTCACATAAAACATGCCAGAGAAAAGGATGATTGTGTTCTCTCATAGTATATTCTTCCATTGTTACTAAAAGGAAATAAAAATGCGAAGGGTTGGAATTTCTTTACATTACTGTCAGAGATAATCATTTTGGGCCTCTTCCAAACATATTGATAGCAATCTTAGCATTGATTTCTGTGGGCTCAATATTTCCAAGAAGCTGAGATTTCCCCTAGTTTTGATATTTTTCATAATTCTAGAAAGTACATTTCACTTATCGGTGTTTAGGAAAAGCTGAGAGGAATAAACTCACCTTAACACGACTATTTTAATAGCTTGTCAGTGGTGGTTTGCCACTGTCATGTTCAGAAGCAACACATTTAACATCTCAGCAATTTAGTTATTTGCACATACTGATATAAGCTATAAAACTAACTTTTCTGTCATTCTTGATTCATTTTTTCATTTGTAGCAGTTATTACAGCATATATACCTAGCACATTATCAAACCGTGTGCAAAACATGTCGGGAGGAGGAAGGTTGGTAGTACAAACCTTGTTCCCCTTTTGTAGCCCGGGGATTAGAAACCAAGAAATGGAATAGTCCCTCCTGTAGTTGATTTGAATATATGCCTTCCTTGAGAGTAACTGCTTGCTTATCTTCAAGGCACTCTACAGTGAATTATCTTGAATTAACCTACAGAATTTCTTCCACTGTTGAAGATCTCCATTCAGCTAGTGCATCAAAACAGTGTCACAAGGTCACTCATGGATACTTGTTCTACTACTGCATAGTGAGCCAAAGCTATTACATTGCAGACAGCATTGTGGGGTAAAAAAATTTCTGGCATTGTATCCATCAGTTCTTTGTAAAATGCAAATACACCTTTTAGGAAAGTTGTGCGAATAAGTGTTCAGGCTTGTGACATACATGCTCAGATATTAAGTGAAAGAATTAGTGTATTTGATATTCTAGGAATGGCAAGAATTGGAAAAGGAAAAGAAATATATGAAGCACAGGCTTTATTCCTCTCTATGTGATGTTTTTATAATGGCCTTCACTTTATGTTACTGAGACAAATGAAGCTACAGTTCAGATTTGTTAGTTTAAATATCAAAGAATACACCACTGAGATGAGCTTGCAACTACTTCTGTTGGTATATCAAAATTCAGAGATCAGTGGAACAAAAATGAAATGAATGCAAAATGAAATTTCCTTCTCGTGAATGTTTAGTACAAGGAGAAATTTTTGGTGGTGGAGTGAAAATGTCCAGTACATATTTGGGTGTGTGTATGTGGACAAGTTTATGCACTTAAGTTCATTTAAAATACTAGACTTCAGGCCATTATTAGAAAATTCTCTGGTAGGCCAGTTTTTGTGTGTGCGTGTTGTACCAAAAGCAGTGTAGGAAATTATTGTATAGTCAACATTTTGTCACTGTTGATGAGAATTATTCATCCATAATCTAGTTTTAGTCTGCGAAACAGCTCGCCAATTAATCTAGCATTGTATTTGATGAATGGACTTTGAGTATAAGGTGGTGACAGCAATAGCTTGCTTCTGTACTGAATATGCATTACAAATGAGTGTATTATACTAGTTTCATATTACAAATATTTCCAGTAAAAGAATACAAATCAATGTTATATTTTAGCATCTAACCTGCGGTTTATCTGTACTACTATATCATCTTCTATATATCCAATTAAAACTGTATTTTGATCCAGTAGTCTTTAATATTAGTGGTCAAGTACTAAAGGAAGCAAGCTTAAAGACTCATTCTTGAACTACAGCTTATTTCATTCCATGCATCATATATTTTACCAGAGAACTCCTTAATGTAGCAGAAATCAGATTTGGTGTGTATTTTTACACAAAATCAAATTGTACAGGCGCCATCTCGGACTCCTCCAAAACATTAGGAAGGATAGGATTCCTCTAGGACACTGGTCAGGAATACAGTAAAGAGACAAGTATTCTAAGTTCATTGCAGATTAGGCAATTTTGTTTTCTGTGTACTTGTTCTTTTTTACATACCAAATGTGAAAAATATGATATACCTTTTCATTATTAAAAGCAGGCACTCTTTAATAGTCATATAAAGTTATCATTGAATGGTTCATTTTTAATTACTGCTTATATTACAGCAAAGTTTTATTTAGCAAAGGGAAAATGCAATACAAATTTTTTAAAAATTGAAACCTGGTTCTGCGTGCCAGCTTCATTTTGACAAACGAAGGAATTGCAGATATTCAGCGTGTAAAGCAACAGCAACAGTGTGAGACATTCCTAATTTTATACAAAAAAGTAGTGAGAATAAAACTTACTCTTTTTACACTCGTTAGCTTTGAAGTATGCCTTTCTCTGACTTCAATTCAGCAATATCCAAAAGTGTTAAAACGTACTTGTCAAATCCTCGTCTCTGTTGTCCATTCTGTCAGATAATTGGCCTTATTGGTTCCCCTGTACTGACTCTTTTCTGTTATGTAACTTGGGATCTATTTTGCTTTTGATTTAATGTAACGAAAGTCACTTGTTCAGCTTGACTGACTTGCTAATGTAGAATAGCATTAATTGTTTTGTAACCAAAATATGGTGCAAAATATGATGCAGAGTTTTTAGTTGTCATATTCTTTTAACCTGTGTATAAGAATTACATGCAA